TTTCTTCTGAATTTCCTTCACGAATACTTGTGCTATTTCACTTTGTTAAACATTCCTCAGGCAGTGACGCCGGGCTACAAACCACAGGTTGGGACACACTGGCGGGAAATGCAAGAGCTGCAGCCCTGTGATCAGTCAGGAGACCCTTGAATGAATCTAGTCTCCGGCACTTACTAATGTGAGAGCTTAGTCAACTTGGTTTTATGTTGTTCGGCTGAAAGGCGGGAATTCCAATAGAATTTGTAAGGATTAAATTATATATAACCCATAAAAAAAAAAAAAACCCTACACAGGGCCTTACAGAGATGCGAAACTAACAGCTATTGTGGCAACAGACCTAGAGTAGTTTAGGAGATGCAAATGCCCACATTTTGGATTTTATGCCCCTACCCTATCCATCAAAAACTGAAGAATCTGAGAGTTTGCCTAACTTCCAAGCTGACTAATTAGTCTGATGCTCCTTCATGGATCCTGGCAGAAGGTAGGAGACTCTTGGATCAGGGAAAGAGGACAGAGCAAGAGCGGCAGCCAGAGTATCGGTGTTTGTGGCTGTACCCGGGCACCGGTGTCTGCAGAGTGATGTTCTGAGGGCCAGGAGACTCTTGGAAAACCTCATGATCCTCCGAAGCCCGTTGTCCACCTTCGTATTGGACATTCTCTAAGTCTGACAAATGCATAATGACATGCATCCATCACTAGAGTATTCCACAGAGTAACACTCTACGTTCAGAATCTGTCCTCAGTTGATAATAGCTCTTCTCTACTGTACGGTTGAAGTCTTCCTCTCTTAACTGAATATTCCCCATAAACATTTAACATTCTTTTTTTTTTAACATTTAACATTCTTGAATAATTTCTTCCTAGAAAGGAAAAAAAAATCATGTGAGTATCCAATTTTCCAAACACCATTTAATCATTCTTGCGCTGAGTATTCTTGGCTCCCTCGTCACATATTAGTTGATTGAATATCATGGGTTTATTTCCAGGTTCTTGACTATGTTCCGTTAGTTTTTGTATCAGTTTTTATGCCAATATCATGCTGTTTCAATTACTATAGTTTTGTAATACAGCTTGGAATTAGGAAGTATGATGACCCCAGCTTTGTTTCTTTTCAGGATTGCTTTGGCTATTTGGGGTTTTCTGTGGTTCCATACAACATTTGGAATTATTTGTTCTATTCCTGTGAAAATGCTATTGGAATTTTAATAGGGATTGCATTGAATCTGTAGATGGATTTGGGTAGTATGGACATTTTTAACAATGTTAATTATTTCAATTCATGAATATGGGGTATCTTTCCATTTATTTGTGTCTTCTTCATATTTCTTTGTCAGTGTCTCAGTTTTCAAACTACAGATCTTTTACATCCTTGGTTAAATTTATTCCTAAATACTTAATTGTTTATGATGATATTGTATGGGATTTTCTTTTTTTTTTTTTTTGGTAGTTCATTGTTAGTATATAGAAACACAAATAATTTTTGTATGTTGATTTTGTCTCTTGCAAATTTATTGAATTCATTTATTAGTTCTAAGGCTCTTCAGTGGAGTCTTTAGGATTTTCTATATATAAGATCATGTCATATGCAAACAAAGACAAATTTATTTTTTCCTTTCAGATTTGGATGCCTTCTAATTTTTGCCTAATTGCTTTGATTAGGATGTCCAGTACTCTGTTGAATAGGAGTGGCAAGAGTAAACACCTTTGTCTTGTTCCTGCTCTTGGAAGAACATTATAGAGGTTCCTCAAAAAATTAAAAATAGAACTATCATTTAATCCAGCAATCCCACTCTTGGTACTACCTTGAAAAGATATCTGAGCCCCTGTGTTCATTGCAGCATTATTCACAAAAGTCATGACATGGAAACAACCTAATCTGTCAATAGATGAATGGATAAAGACAATAGGTAAAAGAAAATGGATAAAGTAGGGGCAGCTGGATGGTTCAATCTGTTAAGAGTCCACATTCGACTCAGGTCATGATCCCAGAGTCCTGGGCTCCCTGTTCAGCGGGAAGCTTGCTTCTCCCTCTCCCTCTGCTGCTCCCCCTGCTGTGCTTGTTTGCTCTCTCTCTGTCAAATAAATAAATAAAATCTTAAAAAAAAGAAAGAAAATGGACGTATATAAATAATGGGATATAATTTAGTCATAAAAAAGAAGGAAATACTGCTATTTGTGGCAGCATGAATGAAACTTGGAGGCATTGTACTAAGTGAAATAAATACAGCAGAGAAAGTCATATACTATATGATCTCACTCATATATGGAATATGCAAAAGCCAAATTCATAGAAATCGAGAGTAGATGGTGGTTATCAAGACTAGGATGTGGAAGAAATGGGGAGAAGTTGGTAATCATTGCACAATATGTACAATCAAATCATCACATTGCACACTTTTAGCTGACACCAAATTACAGGTTATTGTATTTCCGTAAAGTTGAGGGAAGAAAGGAAAAAGCAAATTAACCAACCTCTCTCTCCTTCTTATCTCCCTCTACTCACTATTGAACTCTCCTCTCCAACCCAATTTCTTAAGGGGTTTTATGCTTGGTTCCCCCATTTACTCACAATCCATTCACTGATTTCTATAATGCAATATAAATACAGAAACTGCACACAAGTCATATATGTACAATTTAATAAGTAACTGTGTAACCTCCACTCAGGTCTAGAGACAGAACAATATTGACACCCATGACCCAGTGATTCCAGTCCTAGACACATAACCTAGAGTACAGAAACCAGGAAACACGTACAAGGATGTTTACAGCAATATTATTCAGTCTTACGGAAGTGAAATAACCATTTGCAGAATGAGTATATCTATTATACTCCCTCCTAATCCTTTCCAGAAAAACTCACTCCTTTTATAGATATCCATTTTCCTTGCTTACATGACAATAATCTTGTTACTATTCCCTAAACTTAACCAATATATTTGAATCTTTCCTGTTTTGAATTTTATGAAAATAGTCATTATGTGTATTCTTTGTGTCTGCTTCTTTCACTCAACATGTTTGTGATATTTATTTATATTCTTGGGTATACCTGAAGTTTACTGCTGTCGTTTATTTCTTTTTATTCTGTATAGTATTTTATTATATGTCGTCTACAATTTACTTACGTATTCTTTTATAGATGATTGTTTCCATTTCTGTAATATTAAACAATATTGCTATAAACACTCTTATAAATGGGTTCTACTGTATGTACTTTGGTTATATGTCTAGAAGCAGATTTGATGTATTACAGAGTCTATGCATCTTTAATGATAATAGATCATGTCAACTCTTTCCCAAAGTGGTGGTTTCATTCTTCACGCCTACCAGCAGAGTAGTAAGGTTTCTGTTTTACCACATTTCATTTTATTAAAGAATAAACCCAATAATATTTACTGTGTGCCAGGCCATATGGTAAGCACATTGATTTAAATTTTATGATATAATTAGGATTGGGTAGTATTGCTATTTATACTTCCCAGATAATGAAATAAAGGCATAGAGAGGAGGAATGACTGGCCCCTATTCACACATTTGAATGTGGCGGAGAGTTCAGTTTAAGAGATTAGATCACTCTGCTATGATGCCTCTCCTTCACTCTCACATCCATTTTCATACTCTTTGTGCTAGTTTTGTAGGTCGGTTATAGTATTTTTAATAGTGGTTTTATTTTATTTTTTTATTTTAAAGATTTTATTTATTTATTCATGAGAGACACACAGAGAGAGGCAGAGACACAGGCAGAGGGAAAAGCAGGCTCCATGCAGGAAGCCCGATATGGGACTCGATCCCAGGACCCCGGGGTCACGGCCTGAGCCAAAGGCAGACATCCAACCACTAAGCTATCCAGGTGTTGTCCTTTTAACAGTGATTTTAATTTTTCATTTACCTCAATATAAATGATATTGAACAGCTTTTCATAAATTTTTTTAAGATTTTTTTTTTTGAAAGAGAGAGAGAGAGAAAGAGAGCACATGAGTGGGTGGGAGGGGGAGAGAGAGAGGGAGAAGCAGACTTTCTGCTGAACAAGGAGAGCCCTCAACATGGGGCTCAATCCCAGCACCCCTGAGATCCTGACCTGAGCTGAAATCAAGAGTCCCCTAGGCATCCCACTACCCATATTATTCTATGTATATTTTATTTCTGTTGAGATCTGTGATACATTACAAATTCATGTTTGTAAATGGTATTATTAATTCTTAATTTTATATGTCAACTTGGCTAGGCTATGGTGCCTGGGTGTTTGGTCAAATACTAGTATAGATGTTGCTGTCAGGGTATTGTGTAGGTACGATTAACATTTATAGTCTGTTGACTTTAAGTAAAGGATACTACCTTCAATAGTGTGGTTTGGCCTCATTCAAACAGTTGAAGACCTTACAAGCAAAAACCGAAGTTTCCCAGAGAAAAGGACATTCTGCCTCAAGCTGTCACATAAAAATCCTGCCTGAGTTTCCAGTCTCTGGCATATCCTATGGGAACAGATTCAAGACTGTAGCTTCAACTCTTATGTGAGTTTCTAGCCATCTGACCTGACACACAGATTTCAAATTTGCCAGGCCCACAATCACATGAGTCAATTCCTTAAAATAAGTGTCTGTCTGTGCATGTCTATACATATACATATACCTTGTTTTATTGTACTCTCTATATAATTCCTTGTTTTTTGTTTGCCTGGAGAATCCTGGCTGATGCAGATTTTGGTACCGAGAAAGGCTCAAGAGGAACAGAATCTCAGTTTTCTGAGTTTGTTCTGGGGTTGCTGGGATTGATTGTCTAATAAAATAATACAATTAGATTTAAAGATGCTAATGTCGCTATTATGAAGGCACTAACAATCTATGGTATGATGTGACGATAGAGATGTGAGAAATATTGCTGTCAAATTGGCTGGTTGCTCCTAATTGTACTCAACAAAGTGGAGAAAGTAAAAGACGAGTTCAAGTGCTAAGTAAATGTCTAAAAAGTTTCTGCATCTGTCTTATATCCTGTATCTGCAGAGATGGAATTTCTGAAGACTAAACCCGGTTTAGTGAGTGGCTGAATTACAACATAAATTGAATTCCCAAGCTCACAAGATGTTTGCTGTTAAAGTAAGTATATTGATTGTGAAGGATGGGATCCTGAGAATTGGAATGGAAGCATGTGGGCAGATCCTGATGAAGGTGGGGACACGGTATTGAGGGCCTAAATTCTGATGCATCTTCTTTGCCAATGGAAGCAACTGCTCTATCTCCATTCAAGGAGGTTAACTGTACTTCACCTGAGGAACTTATAATGAGCTCCCCTAAAGCAGTTGCCTCACAAGACGCTATTGATTCTCTTCAAGACTTCTCCTCCCCTGCCACCTGTCTTTGCTTCTAGCCCCATCAGTAGACTCAAGTCTTGCAGTTCCCAAAAGGTAAGGCACACAATCAGACATGTAAGGAGATGTATTATATTCCCAAAACGACTTGATTTTTCTGGTTCGTATAATGGAAATCTGAAAATACGTGTAAGAATGGATATTAAGGGCTTGGAAATTGGAGGAAGGAGTGTAAAGTCAAATCAGGTACAATTTATTGGAATGGGTCCACTAAGCAGACACTCTGGATTCAGTGTTGTGATTTGAGGAGTTAGAAGGGCCTCTAACACTTTGTTAGATTGGTTGGTTAAAGCATGGGTTGAAGCATGAAAAATGGCCTGTATTAAATAAGTTGAAATGCCAGAAGTGCATTAGTATGCTTTATAGTATGGTATCTAAAGTCTTAGGGAATTGGAATGTTAGAGTAGATTTATCACATAAGACTTGCTCACCCACCCCTGAAGGTCGCAACTTGTGAGACTGTGAAAAATAAATTTTGAGAAGGGCCCTACACCCTTGAAGAACACTGTGGTCAGTCTTCTCTGTAGGTCAGGGATTACAAGGGGAACTGCTGACACTGAACTGGCGTTCTTAAATGCAATGGATATAATTAGATCCTGGAGTGGCAAGAGCCAAGTGGTGGCACTTAATGACTAAAGACAAGGTGGGCATGGTTACCATAATGGACAGCAGAGTCAAAGCAATAATTAGAACAATCTGATTCACAGATCTGTGGCATTAGCTAATTGATCATGGTGTTCCTACAAGTGAAATAAATGGTCAATCTACTAATTTTTTTTCTTGATCTAGGTCAATTGAACATATCTCTAATTTGAATCATCAAAACAGAGTAATGTTCTCTTAATAAATTTCCATATTTGAGCCAGTTTATAGGCTCACAATCTCTCAAAATAAAGGGGTAGCTGGGTGTTCTTAAGCAAGAATCCTACTAACCTGCCAAAAATTTATATTATTGGTCTTGTTTCTAGCCTTCCCCAAGGGATTCATGGCCTTACCAAGGTAAAATGAGGGAAAGGAAATAATCTGATTTTTTAGGGATTACTGGATCATGGCTTTAAAATGGTACTAATTTCCGGGGATCCCAAAGTGTCACTGTGTCCACCAGTCAGAGTAGGGACTTATGAATGTAGGATAATAAGTGGAGTTTTTGCTCAGGATTGCTCCACCATGGGTCAAGGATATTCCAAATCCATCCTGCCAAAGTAGTTATTTCTCCAGTATCAGAATGCCTGTACTTAGCAACTGATAGAATCTTCATATTGGTTCCCTAGAGTGAGTACTATTATGGTAGGAAAGGCTAAGTGTAAGCCACTAGACCTACTTCTACATAGTAAAATAGTAACCCCAAAGCACTATTCCTGGAGAGATTGCAGATAATTAGGACTTGAAGGATCAAGGACTGGTGATGCCCACCACATCATCCTCAGTTTATTTAGTTGGCCTTGCACAAAACAGATGGATTTTAGAGAATAACCATGGATCATCGTAAATGTAACCAGGTGGTGACTCCAATGGCAGCTGCTCTTTCAGATTATATTGCTTGAACAAATTAACACCCCCCCTCCCCGGTACCTAACATGCAGCTATTGACTTAGCAAATGGTTTTTCTCTACTCATTTTAGTAAAGATGATCAGAGGCAGTTTGCTTTCAGTTGACAAGGCCAGCAATACACCTTCACTGTTATACGTTGATATATAAGCTCAAAAGCTCTATAATTTAATCTGCAGGGACCCTGATCCACCTTTCCTTTCTATAAGATATCACACAGGTCTACTACATTGATGACATTATACTTATTGGATCAAGTGAGCAAAAAGTAGTGACTCCTGTGACATATTGGTAAGATATTTGCATTTTGGGGGGTAGGAACCAAGAAAATTCAGAGAGCTACCTCAGTGAAATTTCTAGGGGTCCAGAAGTTTGGGGCATATCAAGATATCCCTTCTTGGTAAAATTAGGATGAAGGATGAGTTGTTACAGGCTGCCCTCCTACAATTAAAAAAAAAAAAAAAGAAGGACAATGCTTAGGGGTTTTCTTGGATGTTGGAGGCAACATAGTCCTCATTTGGGTGTGCCACTCACACCCTTTTACCAAGTGAAAAGAAGAAGAGAAGATTCTGCAACAAGTCAGCTGATATGCAAGCTGCTCTGTCTCTTAGATCATATGATTCAGCAGACCTTATGGTCCTTGAAGTAATATTGGCTGGCAGAAATGTTTGGAGCTTTTGGCAGGATTCCATAGTGAACCACAGCACAAATACTTAAGAATTTGGAGCAAAGGCCTGCCACCCTCTTTGGATAGTCGCTCTTCTTTTGAGGAAAAGCTTTAGGCTTGCTACTGGGCTTACTAGCTGAGTATCTAACTGTAGGACCTTAGCTACCTATCAGGTACCGGTGATATCTGACCCACCAAGCCGTACATTTGGTTATGTACAGTGGTAATTCATCAAATGGAAGTGGTACATATGAGACTGAGTTTGAGCAGGATTTGAAGCCACAAAGAAGTCACATAAGAAAGTGGCCCAAATGCCTCTGGTGCCTATTCCAGCTACATTACTTTCTCTCACCCTGTCTATATCTGTGGCCTCATAGGAAGCTTCCTCAGTTGACTTCGGCCTGGTTTACAGATGATTCTGTGCAATATGTAGACACCACCCAGAAGTGAATAGCTGCAGTACCATAGCCCCTTCTTGGGACATCTATGAAGGACAGTGGTGAAGGGAAATCTCCCCAGTGAGCAAAACTTCAAGCGGTGTATCTGGTTGTTCATTTTTGTCTGAAAGGTGAAAGGGCCAGAAGCGTGACCATATACACATTCATGGGCTGTAGTGAGTTGTTTGACTGGATAGTCAGGAAGTTGGAAGGAATATGATTGGAGAACTGATGACAGGGAGATCTAGGGCAGAGGTATGCGGGTAGACCTCTTCGAGGGGGTGAAAACCATGCAAACATTTATATCCTGTGTGAAGGGTCACCACAGCATGACCTAGCAGAGGAGGATTTTCATGATTAAGTAAATAGGAAGACCTGTTTTATGGATACCAGTCAGCCTCTATCTTCAGCCACCCCATTATTCCTTCAAATATTGCTTCTACTCCATATTCTCCTTTCAGGAACTATGTGAAGATGAATGTAAGACTTTCTAAATCTCTCTTTTTTGTCTACTAAACTGCTCTGTTTTTGCCATCTATTGGATACCTTCATTCTAAATTATGAATCATTTCTATTAACTTTACCGTCTAGTTCACTGATAATTCTCTTTTCTGTTTTGCATAATCCGCTACCATACTTACCCACTGAGTCTTACACTTCAGTTTGTTTTTCAGTTCTTAAAGTTCTCTTGGTTCTTTTCCAAATCTTCCACATCACTTCTTTTATTCTCCTATTTCATGCATATAGCTTCAAATTTCTCTTTTGTTTCTCTCATGCACAGTGAACATCCATTTTTTATAAGCCACCTGATAATGGCAGTATTTGCAGTCCTCTGCCTGTTATTTCTGTTGTTTATTGCTTATGGCAACTTATTTACTTTTATGGTTAGTTATCTTTAATTGCACACTGCACATTGTCCTTGAAAACAGTATTTATGGAAATTCCCTGAGGCTTAGCATATATATGTTTTCCTTTAGAAGTGATTTACATTTGTCCCTTTCAGGTGTTTAGGTGCACTGTGAGCTCAATACGACTTCAAATTTATTGCTTATGGTTCCTTTGAACACTTTGATGATAAAAAAATAGATTGCAGATTCAGATACACCAGCCATGATTCCAATGCCTCACCTCAGGACAGTTTTCTTACCAGACTTTCTCCCTAATCTTCCACGTACATTTTTTGGAAGTCCTGGGATTTATGGCAGTGGAAGTAGGCCCAGGCCTCCTTACCCCAAAGGTGTAGCCCCTCGGAGCTCTACCTTGGAGCCCTACCTTAGCATCAAGGTACAGTCCGTTGGGGTGCTGACTTTAAGGGGGGCAGTCTCCAGTCCAGTTTTCTAGTTCATTTTGTCCTGAATGGATAAAAGGTTTCTTGGCCAAAGTAGCCCTTGAGTATCCTGCTTACATGGTTTTCTGGGTTCTTCATTTCTCATATGCGTTGAGCTGATAATTCTTTACTATATGGTAAGTTTTCCAATATTAGGACACTATTTTATCCAGTATTTTTTGTTTGTTTTGTTTTTAGGGTGCTGTGTGTGTGTGTGTGTGTGTGTGTGTATAGTCTAGCCGCCATGACTAAACAATGGAAATCTAGAGTCTTCTTTTAAGCGTGGTAAATTTGGGTTTAGGAAAAGATGAAATGTTTCATGTAGGTTTGCAATCATAGGCTTCTAAGCTATCATTCTATACTGTAAATTGACGATGCACTTATTTTCCCTTAAGATGACTTTTTAGGGGGCATTTTAAAATTATAACTATAGTGAAAAGGAAGAGAGTCTAAAAAATCTAAGGTAAGATTATAATCAAAATAAGATCAATCCTTTTCAATATGTTCTAGTCTGGCATGGAATTCATAAATAAGTGCAAATGTGCAAATAGCTCTTTAGAACCAAAAGCCAGTGCTCAATAAATGTTGGCAAAGATGCAGAGAAAGGGGAACACTTTTACACTGTTGGTAGAAATGCAAGCTGGTGCAGCCACTCTGGAAAATAGCAGGGAGGTTCCTCAAGAAGTTAAAAATAGAGCTACCCTACGACCCGGCAATTGCAATACTAGTAGTGGAACAAATGTAAGATCCAAGAGCCACATGCACCCCAATGTTTCTAGCAGCAATGTCCACAATAGCCAAACTGGAAAGAGCCAAGATGTCCATCAACAGATGAATGGATAAAGAAGATGTGGTCTATACATACAATGGAATATTACTCAGTTATCAGAAAGGGTGACTATTTACCATTTACATCCATGTGGATGGAACTGGAGGGTATTACGCTGAGTGAAATAAGTCAATCAGAGTAAGACAATTATCATACGATTTTACTCGTATGTGGAATATAAGAAACAGTGCAGAGGATCGTAGGGGAACGAAGGGAAAACTGAATGGAAAGTCATCAAAGAGGGAGACAAACCATGAGAGACTCTTAATGATAGGAAACAAACTGAGGGTTGCTGGAGGGAAGGAGCATGGGGGGATGAGCTGACTGCGTGATGTGATGAGTGTTGAGTCTTATATGAAACTGACGAATTATTGAACTCTACATCTGAAGCTAGTGAGGTGCTATATGCTGGCTAATCGAATTGAAATTTTAAAACAGCCACTGTTCATGCTAACACTGAATTCGTATGTTTGAAATCCAAGTGATGAGTGAGTTTTGCCCCTCTGATGGAAGTGTTATTGTCATGGTCTCAGAGTAGGAAAAGGATCCACCTTCAATGATGGTTGCATGGAAATCTGTATCATTCAGTCCCTTTGGATAACTTAATTTAGAACATAGCCATTTCATAAGTGCTATTATATAGAGTGCTTTATAACTATCAGAAAGAAGTTTTGGGTAATAATGGAACATATCTGGCCCTGATAGTATTGTTCTTAATTCATTTCTACATATAGAGAATTTGGCAAAGAGCTTCAAAAGAGCTAGTAAAATAATTAAAGTAAAATGATGATTACAACTGGAGGGAAAAGGTTAAGGAAACTAGGAGTTATTTGAAGAAACAGGTGGCTGAGAGAAAGATAACATTAATTTGAGAAGAGACATTAACAGTGAATTGTTTCCTTTTCTAAGACAATAGTTCTCCAATTTAACCTCATA